GTGTTCTGGCAACGCAAATTGGCTGTAACATGACTGATGAATAGGGGAACGCTATTTTTAAAATGCAAGCTTGTGTTGTCTATAACGAGATTCCACTGGAGGAGTACGCGGTGAAATCACATGATCATTTCATGGCCTTTGTCATGAATATGTACAATGTTAGCGCCGAAAGAGTCACTGCACCAGCATCACGTGATCATTTCACAGGTTTTGTTGTGGAGTGCTTTCTGTGGGAGGTACAGTACAACCTTCTCCCCCCATCCAGTCATCTTGGCACTTTTTCAAGGCAAAGTGTTAAATTTACTTTTATATCATTATTAGATATGAATTATTCAAAATGTGCTATCCTTTGTGTTAGGATTTTGAGTGACTTTTGAGCAGTTTTGAGTCTATTTTTTGGTGGTCTGCCCCAACCTCACTTTTCCTGTAGGCCCTGTTATTTCTACAGCTCAATTTTCTATAATGTGATGTTGCATAGGAACGCAACTATTGCATTATACCCAAACCAACTGCACATCTGTGTTTGAGTCTGCACATGTATGTCTGTGTTACATGTGTGTTTGTGTCTGCATGCATGTATCCGTGTAACTGTGCACATGTGTGTTTTCGAGTCTGCATGTGCCTATCTGTGGGGGGGGGTGGTGTGTGTGTGTATGTGCATGCCCGTGTGCATATGAGTTTGTATTTGTTTGTAGATTTTGATGCCTGTGTCTATGTGTGTGTATATGTGTATGTGTCTGTATGTGTGTCTGTGTGTGAGTCTGTGTGTATATATATATATGTGTGTACCTGTATGTCCATGTATGTGAGTGTGTATGTGTATGTATGTGTGTGTGTATGTGTAAGTGTCTATGTGTCTATGTATATGTCTGTGTGTGACTACAGCTGGACTCAGCTTTGTTGTGGAGTGACTGTGACTACTGCAGCATTTGTGAGGATAAGCCTTAGCTTTCCTGCTCTTATCCCCAGTCAAAACTTAAAGGGCTTAATTTTGTCAATGCATAAAAACAAAATTATTGATAACAACAAGTAATGCAAATACCACATCTGGAGGAAGCCATTTGACTCATTGTGTCTGCGTCGGCTCTTTAAAGAGCTTTTCAGTTATTCCCAATCCCCTGCTCATTCCCTTCACTTTGATTCCAATTCAAGCACTTACCTATTACCATTTTGAAAACTATTGTTGAATCTGCAATCAGTACATTCCAGATCAGAACAGCTTGCTACCTTTAGTTTTTCTGTTCCTCATGTTGCATCTGAATCTTTTGCTAGTTATCTTGGGTCCACTGCTTCCCAACCCTTCTGTCATGAAAAACACTTTCTTCTTAGCTCATCTATCAAAATCCTTCCAGCTTTTTAAACAGATCAATTCAATTTTCCCCTTAACCCTCTGCGCTCTTCTGAGGACAAGTCTAGTTTCTCGAAAACTTCATATCACTGAGGTCTTTCCTCCCTGGCACCATTCTATTAAATCTTCTCCACTCCTCTAAACTGAGTGTTGTTGGTAATATCATTACAATTGTAATATCGTTGTAATCTTTTCTAAAAACAAGATACCCAATATGTAACTCACTGAGTAATAAGACCCCCATGCAGCTAACCATCTTGATTCTTAATTGAACCTGATTCTTCATGAGATGAATGTATGGAGTATGTGTGGGGATAAAGGTACAGATACAGGTCTGGTAGAGGTTGAAGTGGGTTATTCCAATTCTCTCCCCATGTTTATCTTGAAAATCCTGTTGCTTAAGTTTGTTTCCATTAAATTTATAAGTGCCAGGTCTGACCTGAAATAAAACAGTTCAATACATCAACCTGAAAAGTTAATTCTGTTCACAGATGCTGCCAAAGTGTTTCCAGCCTTTTCTATTTTTGTTCAAAATAAAAATAAAACTGCTGTTTGATTTTACTGCAGCTTTGGAATACAATGCAGGTAGGTTATTTATCATGGTCTTGATAAAGTATACTGTTACTTTTTGCTAGCTTTTTCAGCTTCCCCTCCCTGCATTCACTTCTCCACTTTTAATTTAGCCCTATAAAGCGAATAACTTGGAGCTGGGAGTGGAAGGTGAATGGGGAGAGGGTTAGACTACGTCTTGAACTACTATACCGCATATAACTGGGAAGTCAATAGTTATAATTAAGCCAAATAGTCCCAAGGCTAGAATATTAAGATCGAAACTGATGATCAATGGCTTGTCTCTAACTGAGTGACTTGGTGAAATGCAAGAGTAAACCTTGAGTGATACATAGCTGTCATTCAATTCCTAAGGGCGTAGTTTGATTTAATTTGTGCCTGCATTTTGCTGACAGTGACAGTCATGGTGAATGCCAGCTGATAGTCAGCTACTTTTGAATGAGGAATGCATTGCGTTGACAAGATCCTTCAATTGTACCATATGAAAGAAAAATACGTCTCTATGAAAGGCCTTTGTCTGCTATTTTAATAGAGACACTGACTCGTTTAAACTAATTTTGCTAGCACTTCTGTTAAAATGGAAGATGAACAAATTTCATAAGAATGCATTAAAAGTACTCTAATACAAGAAAAGCCTAATTTCAAGCCAGTGTTCACCAAATGATTCTGGTGTAATCATTACAAGTTCATTGAACATTAATCCACAGTTGGGTCTAGGCCCGAAACGTCGGCCTTCCTGCTCCTCTCATGCTGCTTGGCCTGCTGTGTTCACCTAGCTCTACACCTTGTTATCTCAGTTGACAGAACATGTTCAGTAAAGTATTTAGTACAGTAGATAAAATTGTCTCTATTATAGTTTACTAGCACCCTGACATGTAGTGAAAACAAATTTTGGGATTAAGTTCCTGTCCATGGAAACATGGAAATCTGATCATGTTAGAAATATAGTTGCTGTCAGCAGAAAACAAGGGACGTCATATTATGCTAAAAAATAAATGAAGTTTGGCATGGAAATAGAAACATCTGCCTTATGATGTGCAATATCTTAAGAATGTGGATGAAATACCATTTTTCAGTTTAGTTATTCACAGAATGTGAGCATTACTGGTTAGGCCAAAGTTATTGCTCATCCCTAATTACCCTCAAGATGGAAATTAAGATGGGACTCTCTAGACTACTGCTGACTCGACAATTTGGTTAAGCAAATAGAATTTGCTATTAAATTTGTCACTTTTGGTAATCTCTTGCAAATAGTATTATGTCTCCATTACTTTTTGACACTGCATAATAACAGTTTATCCCAAACACTATCAGGAGGTTGGGCAGGGACCCAATGTTGCTTCAATCTCAACTGCATAAAAGGTATAAGATTTGAGAGACCATGTCCTCATCGTTAACAATTTTATGACAGATGTCAGTTCCTCTTTTGCATTACTACAGTGAGAACCACCAGTTATGTGCCTTTTTTAGACTAAGTAAACACACTGTTATGAGATTGGTGAACATGTTTTTTGACAGTTCAATCCATCAAGCTAATTACAGAGGAGTCCAGAAAAATTAATTCAGAAGAGAGCAGTCACCATCTGTTTGATGATCAAGTGTTCATAAGGTTGAAAACAAGAACAACGTTGAAGTAGCTAGCATGATGGAAATATATCCAGGAATGAGCATCAATACTTTCTTCGTTCTGCTGCTTGGCAGTTTTACATGAGAATTGATGTGCTTCAAAATGAAGTTTTCTGTCCACGAGGACTGTCTAAAAATAGCTTCATTTGTCAACTTTGAAATCACAGAGATGGCACAATTATCTGCTGCGGAACTGTTTGTCAAAGGTTTCCACTTTCTGAAGGCATGTATGAACCAATTTGAATTGTTGATATAAGCAGCCTCATGTCAATATAATTGAAAAGAGCTCCGTAAGAAGCAGACAAAGGCAGCGATGGAAGATATCATATTGTTAGGAATTATTTTAAAAAAGGCACCTGAGATAAACTTCAATTTGAATGTGTGTTTCAGCCACTCCCTCAAAAAAATCAATGCTGACATGAAGCTAAGCCTTCGCAGGGAGGAGTTTTCCACTGATACAAACTCAGAGTGTGTAATTTAGAATAATTCACCTTACCAAGCTCATAACTGTTAAACAACATAACAATAAATTGGACATAAAAAGAATTGGAAAATGGTAAGCAATGTTGAAGCCTGCGTGTGACAGAAGGCAAGGAAGAAGTAGAGAAGAAGGGCAGCTGTAGCAACTCGATGAGTTCTATCAATTGAGAATTCAAGTTGTAGTTCTTATTACCTATTTCTAAACAACATTAGGAGAATGTCAATGAAAGACTGTTTAAGTACAAGTAAACAAGGAGCTACAATCATTTAAAACAAACATTAAGCAAATTGCTTACCTTTATAGAAAAGTGGCACATCCAAGATTGTCTTTCCCAATTTATCTTTTTCCAGAATCACTGCTTTGAGTTCAGTTGGAATTAGGTCTGTGATCGTAATAATATCTCCTGCAGAAAAGGAGAAATTGTACAAGGATCCTGGACGAAAACAAAATAATAAAAATATTGTCAAATAAATGATTGACTGATCTATGAAACAAATAACACTCCTTCATTTGTGCATTCTTACTACATGAGATTTAATAAATTTTCTGGCCTAGTCTTCTTTATTCTTTAAAGGGATTTAGCCATTGCTGCATTTATGAACTGATTTCAGAGAGTTGTTGCAAGTCAATCTAATTGCTGTGGGTCTGGAATTACATATAGGCCAAACTAGGTTAGGATGGCAGATTTCCTTCAGGACATTACTGTTTTTACAACAATTGAAGATAATTTCATGCTCACTGTACTGGAGAACAGCTTTGCATTCTTTGCATTTTGAAGTGAATTTCAATTCGGTCAACTGCTGTGGTAGAATATGAACCAATGTCCCCAGGGCATTAACCTCGGCCATTATTTTCCCCATGAAGTCAGTTTGAGGTGTGGTTCATAGGCATTAGGAGTTCTCTGGGTCAATGAAATTTGATCCTTTGTAAGGAAAATGAGAGTTGGCAAGTTGTTAAGTCATCATAATAACGTAATCCTATTCTTATCTGATGGCCATGTAATTTAATTTTCTATATGAATCATTGCATCACACAATCCTACAGTAAGCCATTTGGCCTATCATGCCTATGTCAGCTTGTTCAATTCATCCCCGACATCATGTTGTTTCACACCAGACGTGTAATTTTCTCTGCAATTGGCTTTACCTCATTCTTTTAGGCAGTGCATTACAGATTATAACAACTTGCTGTGTTAAAAAAAATCCTCATCTGACCTCTTGCTGTTTTGCTAATTACATTAAAACCTACACTCTCTGGTTACTGACCTTTATGTCAGTAGAAACTATTTCCCTTTATGTACTACATCAGAGTTCTTTACGGAAAGGACAAATCTTGATTGGTATTTTTAAACTTCCCAGCCCATCAATGCTGAGACTAGTTTCAAGTTACATGCTAACTAGGATCAGCTAACTTGGTACAAAGGGGATTGTATTGGGGACCTGTGGTTTGTAGCTTTCAGATGTAAAAACATTTCATTTTGCTTTCAGCAAATAATCATACAATTTGCAGTATAGAAAGAGGCCATTTGACCTTTAAGTCTGTATTGGCTCCTGAAAAAGCTACCCAGCTAGTCTCATTTCTGCAACACAATCAGCTTGTCAGTTGTACGAGTTGCCTACATTAGTAATATAGCTTCTATTCTAACGTTGTGATCTATCAGAGAGTGCTATTTTAGGAAGGAAAGATCTAATAATGAAGAATTGTGGTCAAACTTGTCAAAGAAAGACCAAAACATTCTTGAGCCTGTTCCATGTACAAAGGCAAAGGAATATAAAAATAACTCTAAATAGATATTCTAATGTCTAAGGTGACATTCTTTTAATGTACTTCTCAATGTACAATATAAACTTGCTGTGATTACTGTCATTATGGTCTTTGGAAGATGGAATTGTGATCCTTACTATCCCTGTGTTAAGAGAGGAGGTGATAAGATATATAAAGGAAAATTCAGAAAGTTCTGGAGAGAGAGGTAAAAGATATTGTTCTTGGCACTAATCTAGTTGCCAAGTGTTATTAAATATACTTTGTGCGAATTTTCCCATTTTTTCTAAGTTTGGGTGATCTTTTTGCATGGCAACCTACATACCATCCTCACTCTGCAAGATGGCTCATCTGATCATCTTATGTTCTCAGTGTGAATGTTAAAGTGCTCTTAGCAAAATACGCTTCACTACCATTTTGGAAGACATTTGGAATATTCAGCTGGAGTCGTCGGCTCTCTGATGCTTGAGTATGGCCACGCTGTAAGTGTCATCATTATCTGCTGTGGATCTAGTCCTACAAAGGGATCCTCTTAGCTGGTGTATTTGTGGATTCCTGCACAGATTTGTAACAAGAGGCGACTGCCCACAAGTCTCCAGTGCATAATCATCTAAAGGTAAGTACGTAAATTATACTCTGATCAGAGATGGGTTTCTAACTCTGATCAGAATATCTCTGATTCTTGTCATGTCAGTCAACAGATAAATATTGGCCAGGATACTATGGAGAAATCCTTGCTCTCCTTTGAGCAGTGTTATCGAATCTTTATATCCAACTATCAAAGCAGGCAGCACCTTGGTTTAATGCTTCAATGCTGAGGTGAAGTGTCATTTTAAAATTTCTGCTGGTGTCACTGAAATGGAACTTAATCGTAAAAGTTTTTGGTGCAGAGGTGAGAATGGTATCAGTAACCAAGGCTAATGGTTAAGTTTGAAATGTTTGTCAATCGTAGACAGTAGTCATTGAAGTCTCATTTTGATTTTTAAATGACTTCCTTGCTTTTGGTGTGGTGCTTACTTTGCAGTCTACTTTCCTTTCTGCCAAATTTTATGCTGCAGAGATGCAGTGTACCTCTTGGGAGCATTATTGATTTAAAATGTTATGATAATCCAAACTTACCTGGGATCTTTTAGATGTAATATCTACTTAACAAAAAATAACAATCCTTTGGAAAACAACAGTATATTTGCACCTTGCTTATGTACTCACTATTTTCCATAAAAAATGTCCACATAAGTTGAACTAACTCCAACGTGGCTAAAATCAAATGGTATTTATATTACTTGAGTAGATATTATATTGATCAATAGCATAGACAGACATGCTATTATAAATAAGGAAAGGTTTTGCCAGTTACTTACCTTGTAAATAAGTTCCACTGATCACCTTCACTGTCCGGTTCAGTTCGTTTGGATTCAGAGACTGGATGAAGGAGTGCCAGAAGTGTACTTTCTGTTCACTGCTTTGATTCATTTTCTTTCTTTTTCACATGTACTGAACTAGAACCCTATTGAAACCGTACAATCTGAATACATTTAACATGGCAAAGTGGATTTTGTTTATGATTTTTCTGAGCAAAGTCACGACACTCTTAAGAACTGGTTCCTGGAAATAAACAGTGTAGTTAATAATCACCTATTGTTTTGCAATCATCCACAATGCTTGGAATATGTCTCAAGCATGTGGTTTTGGTCTGGCTCCAATCATTTATTCCGGCAATGAAACACTGCTATCTTGCCCACATAAACCTGGCCAAATATTCACATTTATGAAGAACTCCTTCTGTATTTAATGATTCACATTTCTTTATGCACTAGTCATAGGGAAAACAAGGACAATAATGATTAAGCTACTTGCAGAACAAGAACTCCAGCCAAATATTAATGAATTGCCATGCTGGCATGCTTGTTTAACATGGAGCCTCATTTACCTAAAATGCAAACTGCTATTATTTTGTGTGATTTGTATTATATCAGTGGTGGCTCAGCTGGTAGCATTCATGCCTTTCAATTACTAGATTCTGGGTTCAAATCCTGCTCCAGATTTCAACACGACAATTAGGACTGGTAGAAGAGACCATTGCAGTGCAGAGAGCAACTCAGGCTACTGGAGGAGCTGTTAAACCTGCCTAGTGGGGGAACAATTCAGTAGTGTTTGGAAATGGACATAGTGGACCTCTAACAGGGCAAGTTAGACCAAATGTCTCATTCACCAGTCTTATGGATTGTTTTCCCACTTGGAGTCTTGGTGGATGGTATTCAGATATGACACTAGTTGGAGAAGATCAGAGGAGTTATTCTGATGTCTGGTCCATATCTGACCCTCAAGCAACATCACAAATTTGGATTATTCTGCCAGTGTCATGTAATTAACCATATTTCTAAGTGTTGGCAGAATATGGATGTTAGTCCTGAGATGCTGATGCACCCAAAGCATAATGCTCCAAATAATTGACTTCTTTCGAGATGTCAATCTGTTCTTTCCCAAATTATAAACTGGAGACACTACTTTCAGAGATGTGTTGACACTCACACCATTTCACCTCTGAGTTTTAAAGGCCTGGACAATAGCGATGTGAACAGATTGTTTAAGATATGCTGTGAATAGAGGATTGGGTAATGTGAGAGTATAAAATTATCATGCAACTTATCGAATAGTATTCAGATTGGGAGCCGGCATTATCATATATTTGGGAAAGTAGCACACTTAAGTGCCTTCCGTTTGGTCCCTTTGCATCCATCAGATGCAGTCTTTCTGAAGGTAATCACTCCCTCCCTCTACCACAGGCCTCTTATCCCTTAACCTGGCCAGCCACCTTGGATCTAGGAAGATCAAGAAGGGAGCAAGGGGTAAATCAGGAATCTGCAGGCCAGGCAGTCTAACTTTGGTGGTGGGGAAACTATTAGAAGCAATATTGAGGGATAGAATTAATCTGCACTCAGGAGAGGCAGGGATTAATCAAGAACAGTCACCATGATTTTATTTTAGGAAGGTCATGTCTGACCAACTTGATTGAATTTCTGGAAGAGATGCGCAGATGTGTAGATGAGGACAATATTTTGATGTGGTCTTTGTGTACTTCAACAAGGCTTTGGATAAGGTCCCACATGGGAGACTGATACCGAAAGGTAAGAGCACATGTGATTTGAGAAAATGTGGCAAATTGGATCCAGATTTGGGTGAGTTGAAGTAAGCAGAGGGCAATGGTTGAGGGGTGTTTTCTTGACTGCACTGCCTGTGTCCAGTGGGGTCCCGTGTGGGTCAGTGATGGGTCTGTTGCTGTTTGTGATTTATAAACATAATTCAGACTTGAATGTAGGAGGGTTGATCAGTAAGTTTGCAAAAGATACAAGAATTAGTGGGTTGGTAGATAGTGAGCGGGTTAGCCTAAGATTACAGGATGCAGGCTGGCTGATCAGTGCAAATGGAATTCAATCCAGAAAAATGTGAGGTGATGCACCTGGGAGGACAAGCAAGGCAAGTGAAGACATAATGAACGGTGGGACCCTGGAAAGCACCAAGATCAGATGGACCTTGGTGTGCATTCCCACTGGTCCCTTAAGATATCAGGACAGGTGGATAAAGTGCTTAAGAAGGCATATGGAATACATAGATTTATTAGCTAAGGCATGGAGTTTAAGAGCAGTGTGGTTATGCTAAAACTGATCTATGATGAGGCTCCGCGTGTAAATGTGACTAATTTCCAACAAATCCTCTTAGCATCCTATTTTGTTAAGTGAAGTATTCTGAATCCATGAATTCATCATGGAAATAAATGCTACACTAATGATTAAAATAAAGAATTGTTGTTGTACAACTGGATCTCAGAAAGATACTGTCTTGGAAATGAGTTGTTGGCAGGTCTACATCATTGACAAAGTTACAACAAATGTCTCTGAATATTTCAGAAGCAACTGGAGTTGCACCTTCGCATATTATTAATAACGTTCTTCTCCAAAATGACTATTCCTTTGTGGATCAATAGAATATGATGTTGCTGGAGGTAGACAGCCCTATTATTAACAACAGACAGATTCTAGTAAAGAAACACTGCATTTACTTCATCAGGGACAATATTGAAGAGGAACGCAAATTCAACATTTTCATAAAGGAAATGATTATTGGATAAACTGCTGCCTTTTAAGGTCCCATCAGCTTGCAAAATGACAAGCTTTATAACTTAGTAAGACACAAGCAGCAGAAGCACAGGAATGCCACCACATGGAAGTTCTACAAACCATCCTGACTTGGAACTGCATTGTCATCTCTTCATCTGCTACATGGCCAAAATCTTGGAATTTCTTTCCTAACAGTACTAGTGGCCATACAAAGGGCCACTGTAACATTATACTTATGCTTATTAAGAGAGGAACTTTAAAAACTCTCAACAAGGGAAATGGACAGCATCTGTAAAAGAAGAATAAGCAATAATATTGAGAAAAGGGAGGGAAATGGGATGAATGCATATCAAGCCTGTTGTTAAGTGAGCAACCACACATATGTGATGAGTAGAATGATCTCTTCTTGTGCTATAATTTCACTGACTTTGTTTATTCCTAGGAAGAGTGTCTGTGTTTTTATATTAGCCTCTCACCTACACAACAGCAAAGTACTGTGAGCACCTGGATATTGCTTTTTGATCCCTACATCCAACCTTCAGTTCCTCCATTACCAATCATTGTTGCAACAGCTGAAATTTATGGTCCCAGTGAGATTATAGAAATTGTTTTACAGTAAACAAGGATTATTACCTTCAGCACCCTTTCTCATATAGATAATTCTTAACCTTGATATATTTGTGTGATTACTAATGTCCAATGAATCATAACATAAAATCTTTATTCAAAATGCGTTGTAACCTAATCAGGTCAGTAAGGGGAACCGAACTATTGCAGCTGAATTCAGTCAACGTCAAGCATTTATTAGTCATGTACAGTAGTTGTATACAGTGTAAAATTCCACCTATTCTAACTCAACAATATCCATCAAGCCTCAGGGTAACATTTCTGACTGGATCATTTTTCCACTTCTGACAATGTGATCTTGAGTTACAAGTGATGTTTTCAATTGAAAGCAGAAAATGGGGGACATACTCAACAGGTCTGCCAGCCTCCTTGAAGTTTCAAGTGGTCAGCTTAAGATTTTAATCTCTCGTCAGATGCTGAGAAACTGGACTGAGCCTAGCCAAAGTCATCTCATTTGTTTTTTATTCATTCTCGGGATGTGGGTGTATCTGTATAGGTCAGCATTTATTGCCCATCCCTAATTCCCCGGAGCATAGCCACATTGCTGTGGGTCTGGAGTCACCCATAGGCCTGAGGTAAGGATGGCAGTTTCCTTCCCTAAAGGACATTAGTGAACCAAATGGGTTTTTCCAACAATTGACAATGGTTTCACGGTCATCATTAGACCCTTAATTCCAGATTCTTTTCATTGAATTAAGTTCTGCCATCTGCCATGGTGGGATCGGAACCCAAGTCCTCAGCACATTAGATGAGTTTCTGGCTTAATGGTCTCATGATAATGCCACTGGCCATTGCACATTTTTAGAGCCATCAGTCAAAGACTGCCACGCCATTAACCTCGGCTAGGTTTGGATCACATCTGAGAAGTGAAATGGCCGTATCTAACATATTTTACTAAATGCTGTCCCTAAATTTGAATCTAATGATGATATGAGGTACGCCTTGACAAATCAAAATGGAAGAATGAAGAATGTGCTGAACTGCTCAATCATTGCTCTTCATTGCGGTTCGTGAATGTATACTACATTTTGAAATGTTCAAAGGTAGCTCTAGGCGTGAGGAAGTGTGAAGGAAATGTGCAGTTCTATCTAGTAAACTCCATTCTTTATGATTCTGCATGGAAACTGCTGTCTAACTGAGTTTCAGATGACAAAATGCTCACCACAGTGGGAATTGCTGTCAGTACTTCAATTCTCTAAAGTGTCTTGGGTCACTTTATTATGTTAAAAGTGCTATATAAATATAATGTGCTGTTGTGATGGTTACCTGTTAATGTTAAGGTTTAGAAGCTGGTAAAGTGCTGTGGCCTCTACTTCAAGATGACCTGTAAACACTTTCACATATTGGACCAGTGTTGATGCTGATCATCAAGGAGACCGCTGTCCTCAGTCTTTTTTGTCTCCAAATCCTTCAAGAATTCGTCACCCTATAAGGAGACATTCTGAAAATGCCATATTCAGAGATAAAAATTGATCATGTGAATGTATCTTGCAACTGAGATATATGTGACTAACTGCTTGCAGTGGGAGATAGTAAGGACTGCAAATCAGAGTCAATGAAATGTGGAGCTGGAGGAACACAGCAGGTCAGACAGTAACAGAGGAGCAGGAAATTCAACGTTTTGGGTCAGGACTCTTCATTAGGACTGGGTAGGGCAAGGGGGCTCAGAAATAAATTGGGAGGGGAATGCTGGGGGAAGGTAGGTGGGATGGTGATAGGTGGATGCAAGTATAGATTGATCAATAGAAAATGTAGAGAAGACAGGTGAGAAGGAAGATGGGCAGGTTGTGTCAGGTCAAGGAGGCTGGGATGAGAGGGAAGACTGGACGTGGGATGAGGCCGGGGATGAG